CTCCTCCTCCCCCTCCCCCTCCTCCTCCTTGGATTGGCTCCCGATGCCACACCCCTGGCTTGCGGAGCGCCCCAGGGGGGCTGCGCCTGGGGTGCCGCCAAAGGAAGGTTCCACGCCGACCCTTGACAACCGCGCGGGGCTCCGAACATGTTTGTTAAGTCGGGCCTGTCCCTCAACAGGCGGAATATTCAAAAACAGCATTAAACAAAACATAGTCAGGGGACAATGTGTTGATTATGTGTTGCCCAGTTGGAATATGGTTTGGCTATGTTTCATTTGTCTTCCAAAATCCCCCTTTAGGGGGACAGGCCCGACTTAACAATTTTATGTATGCCGACGTTTTTTACTGGACCTGAGGGGCCCACTGCGAGATCCAAGAGGATCCAAGGAACGATGCCACGACATACATACAATTTCGGGGGCCATGTATGCAGCAGCGCGCCGCCATCCGCGCCAAATCGGCACCGAATCCATGCCAGATCCTCACGGCCTGCGTGCTGTACCCACAACGGATGAGCGGCCGAACCCACTCCGAATATCAAAAAAAGACAGCAACGTACGGGATGGACGAGGCCCGCCGAAGATGCAGTGCAAGCGGGCGTCCTGACATCGGCCCACGGCGCCAACACGTTTGGCAACCGCATGTGAACCCCACCACTGCGAGTCAGATCCTTGAAAAACTAGCGGGGTGTTCAGAAGCTGAAGGACGTCTGCAGCCAGGTGACGCAAACGGTCGGATAACCCAGCGTCGATGGAACCCGAAAGGCTAATGTCGTGTAGGATTGAATTACTGGGCAAATTAATCCAACATCGGCGCTGGTATATCAAGAGATGCGTATTCAAATGTTGGCCTAATGCAACATGGTCCCGCTTAACCTGACTGGATCGGGCTCGAACCTGGGCCGATCCGGTCCAATGGCTGCCTAATCAGGCGGATGACCTCGTGCGGTTGCATGCCCGTGGTCGATTCCGTAAACCCTGAACCCAAGATTGCTGCCATCTCGTGGGGGGCAGATCTCCTGGTGCCACCAGGGAGCACCAGCGCCGATCCAAGCGACCCGCGCGGACCTCCCACGACTTGCGCTTGAGGCATGTTGTGTCAGGTCGGACACGTCCTCCTGCGAGCGAACTTGGAAGGACCCGTGGCTCACAAGCCAGAGCTTCCACAAAACCATGGGCAACAGCAACGACACTTCTCCTGAGACCATGGCCCGAAACTATGGTCCGTCTCTTGTTGAGCACTCCTCCTGGAGGGGGACATGCCCGACCGACCATGCCTGCTCGCAGCGTGCTGTGCTCCGCGAGCCCCGCTCCCGGCCGGAGCGCGGCCGGGGCCCGCTCCTGTTGATCCTGTCGATCTCCGCGAGCGTCACGTCCGGGTCGAGGGGCAGCCCGCCGTGGAGCACGCACAGCTCGTCGCCTCGCGCCGGCAGCCCCTCCTCCTCCTCCTCCTCCTCCTCCCTCCTCCTCCTTCCTCCTCCTCCTCCCCCTCCCCCTCCTCCCCCCCTCCCTCCTCCTCTCCTCCTCCTCCTCCTCCTCCTCCTCCTCCAGGGCTCTCTCGGGCTGGGCGCCAGGGGGGGGATAGCAAAGGGGGGGGGGGGTGAGGATCAGCTCGCGTGGCCGGCTGTCCCGGCGCCTCCCGGCGCCAGAGGCGGCCATGCACCCAGGAATGGGCCCCTCGGTGGGGCTGAAACCAGCTGCATGCCGCAGACTTCTTAAGCCGCCCCCCTCTCCCTATCCCCCCCCCTTCGTCTGGTCGCTGGCTCTCTCCTGATCGAGCCCAGCCTTTGCGTTGCAGCGTTTTGCACCTGGAGGTCTTTCAACAAGTCCGCTCAGAGTCCGTGCATCTGTGCAGGACATGCCCCGCCTTTTCGCCTCTGAAAATCTCTGAGAGACCATTTTTTCTGAATCGGCGATAACCCGGGCTATCCCGGGGGTGGAGGGGGAGGAGGGGACCGGCCGATAACCTAATCCTCGCGCTGTGGGCAACCCTGCATATGCCCGCGCCCCCCCTCCCGCGGACCTGCACAACTGGAAAGGTTAGGTGATCCTGGGGAGGGGGGGGAGGGAGGGGGGGCAAGCCCGATAACCCGGCTTATCGCCCGACCTTTAACAAAAACAGTCTCTGAGCAGGAGGCCGTGCATCTGTGCGGCCGCCGTGCCACCAGAAAGAGCGCCAAAGCAAGGACAAGGGGACTGCCCCGGCCACGGCGAGCCTCGGCCATGAGTGGGCTCCTCGACCTGGACCTGACGATGAGCTCGGCAACAAGGAGCCCCTCCCGCGCCCGAAGAAGCCCATATTTCAGCGTCGTGGCTGTAGGGCCACTGCTCGGTGGAGCGCCTACCCGTGAAGACCAAGACCTTCCAGGCTGCAAGGCCTTGTTCCCAACGCACACAACCAACCACCCCGACCTCATGACCTGTAAAGCACCACAACGAAGCTGCGCTACAGCGTGATGTGGAGGATTGCATGACGGCTGCTTGACTGCACAAACGGCGGGCCATGCGCACTGCAGTACAAGACGTGGAACGACAAGGAACCGGGCCAAAGCAGGGACAGGCCCCACGAGTCCAGGCCCGAGGCCAAAGCAAAATGAGACACGCAGGAGACCAGAAGAGGAGGTGGAGGACAAATGACAAAGGACAAAAACGATTGGGAACGACTCCGAGCAAGCCAGGCCAGAAGATTAGCCTGTAGAGAGAGCATCGAGGTTCCTCCGCAGCGTTGTGAGCCCAGGCCTCATTCGAGGACCTACTCAGGAGGACCTTGATGGGCAAATTGCAGGTGCTAGGCGATCTAGGGCTCCATTAGCAGGGGCGTTCCCTGCCTGGCACCAGTTGTGCGGAGTCTATGGACAGGCAGCGGCGTGCCCACGGCGAGGAGGAGGAGGAGGAGGAGGAGGAGGGGAAGGAGGAAATGCTGGCGCCACCAGAGGGGAGAACCTTCCAGGCTGCGAGGGGACGAAGCCGAAAAACGGTATGCATGCCGACTTCGGCGCAGGACAACCGACCGCATCACGACTGGCAGAAGAATGGAACGCCCATGCCTGATTCAGGCCGCACGTGTTCTCCGGCGGCCAGCTGCGCCAGAGCAAAAAGCTGCTTAAGATACGCCGTCGGTCTGTTCGGGCCAGGGTAGTTCCTGAGCGCCGCCACAGTACAGCCGGACCCAGAGCAGAAGAACAACCGTCGAGAACATGAGACCCTCCGCCGGCCAACGTGAAGAACATTCGAGTATGCCCTCCTTCTGGATGCACGAGAACACACAACAAATACGAAGAGCATCAGGGCATCCTCCCTGAACCGACATCGATCGGATACTTCGGTCCGACTGAACACCCTTGAAACACACAGCGCTCCCGCAACCAAATGATCCAAACGCGGCGGCAGCTGGCGGCGCCGCACATTCAGCAGCCGAGGAATTCGCCGGCCCAACGGGCCAGAGGCGTGCTAAGATCTCCGGTCACTGCTCTGCAGTAGTTCTACGTCGCGCACGGGGGGCGGCCCCTCTTGGGGTCCCCCGGAGGAAAAGTACCCCGGCAGGGTCGGATCAGAGATGGTTTTCCGTCTGGGCGCCGCCCTCGAGAGAGCCCCAAGAAGGGTCAAGCGGCCTCCAAGAGGCTCGAATGATGATACAAGAGGGCTCGAAGATGCTACAAGATCGCCCCAAGACGCCCAAGATGGCCCCCAGACGCCCCAAGAGGCCTCCAAGAGCACTCTCAAGAGGGCTCCAAGATGCAAACATCATTGCTTGTTTTGCTGTAGGTTTTGGAAATATCTGGGTGTTTCCACCTTTTCGGTTTCCCGACGCCCCAAGACGGCCCAAGAGGCCCCCAAGATCGCCCCAAGAGAGCCCAAAAGGCCCCCAAGAGGGCCCAAGAGGCCCCCAAGAGGGCCCCAAGACGGCCCACGAGGCCTCCAAGACAGCCCAAGAGGGCCCCTAGAGCGCCCCAAGAGCGGCCCCAGAGGGGGAGCACGAAACAACATTTCGAGCCCTCGGTCCTGAGAGGCCTCCAGGAAGCCCCAAGAGGCCCCTAAGAGGCCCCAAGAGGCCCCCAAGAGCCCTCAGGAGACCCCCAAGACGCCCCCAAGAGGCCCCCAAGAGGCCTCCAAAAGACCTCTTGAAGGCCCGACCTACGGAGCCCCCAAGAGGCCCCCACGGGCCGGCGGAATGAGCGAAGCGATTCAATACTAAAGCAATCCCCCCTTTAACCCTCTAGTGTTGGTTCTCTCTGGCCAACACAGAGCTCGTCGGAGGAGAGTTGCGACAAGGCCGAACTTTCTTACTGCGGGGGAAAGTTACGCATCGATGCTGCGATATTCTTAATACTACTGCTACTGCTACTGCTACTACAACTACCACTACCACTACTCCTACCACTACCACTACCACTACCACTACCACTACCACTACCACTACTCCTAAAATTACGCTACCGAGGAAACCCACATACCTATTTTATTTCCCATGTGTATCAGCGGTGCTTTTGCTGCTGCTCCTCCTTCTCCTCCTCGGTGTCCTCCTCCTGCTGCTGCTTCTGCTGCTGCTGCTTCTGCTGCTGATGCTGCGTCTGCTGCTGCAGCTGCTGCTGCTGCTGCCGCTGCTGCTGCCCCACCTCCCCGTCCTCCTCATCCTCCTCCTCCTCCTCCTCCTCCTCCTCCTCCTCCTCCTCCTGTACCTCCTCCTCCTACCTCCAAGCGCACCCGCTGTGGCGTCGAGGGCATGCCACGCCTGCCACGCCCTGGGAGCCTGCAGCGCATAGGGCCCCCACCCCCAGCGCACCCCCTGTAGCGTCGAGGAAATGCCACACCTGCCACGCCCTGGGAGCCTGCAGCGCATAGGGCCCCGACCCCCAGTGCACCCTTAGCGTCGAGGAAATGCCACGCCTGCCGCGCCCTGGGAGCCTGCAGCGCGTAGGGCCCCCACCCCCAGCGCACCCCTTGTGGCGTCGAGGAAATGCCACGCCTGCCACGCCCTGCGCGCCTGCAACGCATAGGGCCCCCACCCCCAGCGCACCCCCTGTGGCGCCGAGGAAATGCAACGCCTGCCACGCCCTGGGAGCCTGCAACGCATAGGGCCCCCACCCCCAGCGCACCCCCTGTGGCGTCGAAGGAATGCCCTGTGTGCTATGCTGTGCTGTGCTGTGCTGTGCTGCTGTGCGGTGAGCTGTGCTGTGCTGTGCTGTGCCGTGCTGTGCTGTGCGGTGCTGTGATGTCTTGAGCTGAGCTGAGCTGTGCTCAGCTGTGCCGTGCTGAGCTGAGCTGTGCTGACCAGTGCTGTGAGGACGAAGGGAAGAGCGAGGTGTGTGTGAGAGAGAGAGAGAGAAACGGAGAGGGAGGTGTGCGGGTGAGACGCGGGTGCGGCGCGGCAGGGAGGAAAACCATAACCCCACGAAACATGTGGGGAGATGCAACTACTACCACCAATATTTTTATGTTAAAACAAAAATTATACTAACGGAATTCCCCACATAAAGAGATTAACGGTTTCGTGGGACCCATGTTCTTGATGCCCTCCTCGCTTTGGCGGGGCCCCGCTGGAAGGGGGGAGGGCTACGAAACCTGGCGGAGAGTAATGTTTTCCGCGACCCTCCTCGTTCAAGCGCGGCCTCTCTGCAGGAGTGGAGGGGGGACACGAAACCGTGTAAACAGCATGTTTTCCGATACCCTCCAGGAAGAGGAGGAGGAGGAGGAGGAGGAGAAGGAGGAGGAGGAGGAAGAGGATAAGATGGATGATGGCGAAAAGCAGCAGCAGGAACCGCAGCAGGAGCAGCAGCGGGAGGTTGGTTTGAGTGGTTTCATTTTCCTCGTGAGGTCCGATTCGTGAGTTTGGTCTGAGTGGTCTCATTTCCCTCGTCCAGTCGAGGTTATACAAGAGGGTGGGCGACACGAGTTCGCTAGACGAAAGCACTTGCCGAGGTGTCTGGTAACTACAATTCGAACGCAGACACTGATCGGCCAAGAGCGGTTTAAAAGACTGCCAATCATCTCCCAAACAAGGTATCGCTGCATTATGGTTTTGTGCACACGGCGTTAACCTACCAGCTTGACTGTACTCGGGCCTACGAGCCTGACTGTACCTCGTCCTTGGGGCTCAGTGCGACCATATTGGCCTGGTCTGTCACGCGGACTCCCAACTCTGAGAGCTCTACTCGGACTTCGACTGCGAATGCTGTGGGCAAAAGGTCGTCACACCAGTCTCATCGCGCGAGCACTCTGGAGCGGCGTCGCCGCGCGCGCATGACGAAATCCTTTTCAAAACCATTGGGTTTCTGAGCATTCTAAGATATAGCTCTTGAAACACATATGAAAACCAGTTGCGATTGCAAAAAAACCTGCCAGATGTATTGAACTTCGGTTTCCTCACCAATGCCACGCCCATGGGGCGCCTGTCTTTCCTGGGCGCGCGTCCGAGGTTTG